ATGTCAGTGAGTATGGGAACCATCGTATTCAGATCTTCAACTAATAACACAACAACACAACACAAACTACCAGTCCTTCAGACATGTATGTAGCTATTGTTTGTTCTGTAACATGGCCCATTTTGCACTTTGTATACATTTTTTTGATCTTCAGCTCACAAATTTAAACGCTCGTCATACATATGAAGCAGCTACGTTTTGTGTGTGTAAAATCTTCAGCTGACTATAGTTGGTGAGTGAAGCTGGTGAAATAGAACACCATTCCAGGCCTAATACACGCGAAAAATTGAACTGCCCACGCTCGCCCGCCAAATATGCTCATCATTCGTTCTATTATCTCAACACCCAGTGCCCTCATGCTTGTCTGTGACCTCACATCGTGTCTGTTTCTCTCTTTCTCTTCCAACGAACCAAAACCAGGAAGAGGACAGTTCCCAGTACTGTCTTGTGGAGGTGAGTCAGGTGGATGGGAGTGAGAGAGAGAGTCTTGTGTGACACAGACTGCCCCTGGAAGAGCCTTCAAGACCTCCGAAAGGTAAACAACAACAACAAACAAACAACAACAAAAATGTCTACTCAATGATGTTCTATATATGTTGTTACTCATCATTCAACCCAGTATATTAACCCAGAACAACAAACAAACAAACAAACAACAAAACTGTAAACAAACAAATCCTCTCTTTCTTCCCCTCAGCAATCACTGACGTTCAGTAACCTACAGCGCTACTTTCTGCGCCATCGAGAGGGCGGAGTCACCTCCATCTACATGTGCAACGTCGACAAGGAGATCCTGAGGGAGAAGGCCAAGTACACCGAGTTTGTCAAGTCCCTTTTCGCCGAAAGTGAGGATATTACAAAGTTATCAGTAGCGGATTTTTGAGGAGCAAATGCAAAGGGGGCGCGAGTTGTTCTTATTGAAGCTGTGAAAAAATTTTAGCCAAATCTGTACATTGATTATGTGTTCTGTTTCTCTCTCTCCCTTTCCCTCCGCATTTTCTTGTCCCCCCTTCCCCAATCCCTCACCCCCCCCCCCTCTCTCTCTTCTCTCTCTCTCTCTCTCCGCATTTTCTTGTCCCCCCTTTCTCTCCTCTCTCTCTCGCTCTCTCCCTTTATAGTTCCGGCCTATGCAAAGCCATCGGAAAACCAAATGTGCCTCATAAAGATAGGCCCCGCCTTCCCCAGTGCTGGTGGGCTCTTTTTGGAATTCCCGACCTTTGACCTCGCAATTCGGATTACATCGGCTCTCGAGAATCTACAGTCTTGCCCGAAAATCATCCTACTACCAACCATCCATGTACATATGACTTCAGTTTCGATTGCCTGTATAGGTTTCATATACATGTATAATACATACAGTATAAGTTACACATACATACATAGTGCAATAGTTATTCAGTAAGAACATTGTATAGTCGCCTTAAATGTGACTTTCATGTACTCTAGAAGAAGTTTAATTTCAGTTACGGTTTTCTCTTCACAGCCGGATGCCGTTGGATTAGATCAGGAGCCCCTCCTTGTCTTTGTGAACAGGAAGAGTGGTGGGAACCAAGGGGTTAAACTGATCTCTGGGTTTCGTCGTCATATTAACCCTCACCAGGTGTACGACCTCATGAACGGAGGTCCTCTGCCAGGGTAAATGGCTGCTCCCTCTCTCTCTCTCTCTCTCTCTCTCTCTCTCTCTCGATATGTAATGCATTCATGTATTATTGAATTAACCCTCTATAATTATTGTCTGTGTGGTGTGTGGTCTTTCAGGTTGTATGCGTTGCGCCACATGAGAGCGTTCAGAGTGCTGATATGTGGGGGAGACGGGACCTTCGGCTGGGTTCTGTCGGCTCTTCAGGACATGAGGGAGTTCCTGGGCTGCTCCTCTCCGCCCTGCGCCGTCCTGCCTCTCGGGACCGGTGTGTGAGAGAGGGGGGGGAAGGGGTTATTCAACATTTTCACCTCGTTAATGAAAAACACTAAAGTGCAAACCCTCGGCGAACTGTGCATGTGCAATACCACTAATTGATGGGCTGGGCCTATTATACTAGCATACATAACTCTCTCCCAGGTAACGACCTGGCACGGGCCCTCAACTGGGGCGGAGGGTACACCGGTGAAAAGGTGATGCAACTGCTCCTGGCCATCGAAGACGCCAACACCGTCTCCCTGGACAGGTCTGGGAAGAAAACTCACCATTAATTTCTAGAATTTTATGAATCATCACATTGTGTGCTTGTACTTATTGCTTGGTTGTATGTGCCTGTTAGGTGGACCTTGTCGTGGGCCGCTGACCCCTCCCTGTTGCCTAGCAACCGTTCGTCGTCGCCGGGGAGTCCGCGTTCGTTGTCCCCGGCGATCCTGACGTCGCCGCAGAGTGTGGTGATGAACAACTACTGCGGCATCGGGCTGGATGCGGCCATTGCCCTCGAGTTTCACAACGCTCGCGAAGAGAACCCCGAGAAATTCAACAGTCGGTACGTCAGTTTGGCTTCGCAAAACCTCTGTCACTTCTCTTCTTTTTAAACACACATTGATTACATTCTCCCTCCCTCTCTCCATCCTTCCCTCCCTCCTCCTATCCTTCTTGTCTCTCAGATTCCACAACAAGGGGGTGTATTTCCAGCTGGGACTCCAGAAGATGGTGTCCAAATCGGAATGTTCAAACATTCAGAAGCACCTCAAACTCACCGTGAGTTACAATCACTTACGCAATTTTTACTGCTTCCCCTCAAATTTTTAACCATCGCCTCTTTTTTTTTACCCATGTAGGTGGATGGAAATAAAGTGGATCTACCAGAGTTAGAAGGGATCATCTTCCTCAATATTCGGAGGTTTATAGATTAATTTTTATTTTATAAATTTTTAAGGGTGAAATTTTTTCAGCTGGGGAGCTGGTAAAGACCCATGGGGTTCTGCTGCAGATTCGGTGAGCACTGCTTGTGTGGTTATTTTTAGACATTGTATGATGTCATTGTTGCTATTTTTAGCTGTTCACCACTCCCGCTATGGATGATGGGAAACTTGAGGTTGTGGGAATATCAGGTGCCTTCCACATGGTGAGTGAGCAAGTCACATGACTATCACATGATTTGGCTGTTGGTCATGTGACACTCGCAGGGTCAGATCCAGGGCGGTATTCGTAGCGGAATTAGACTGGCACAGGGAGCTAAAGTAAGCAATCAAGAACTCTCCTCACTCCATTTTTCATACTCTTCATTCCTCCCTCCCATCCTCTTTCCTCTGCCTACAGGTGTGTCTCGAAGTCAAGAAAACTCTGCCATTACAAGTGGATGGTGAAGCAGGCCTCCAGCCTCCAGGCATTGTCACCATGATGTGTCTCCCTGAAAAAGTACGTAAAAAGAATAAGTGGACCCCTCTCTATAGGGGACACCCCTGAAATGAGGACACTATCTTCTGTCCCATTGGTGTCCGGGTTGATGGTTTAATACCTCATTATAAAATTTACCAAAATTTCTGACATGTGCCCTGTGGTACTATATAGTGGCACCCAATACTGGTGCTGTGGTACTATATAGTGGCACCCAATACTGGTGCTGTGGTACTATAATATAGTGGCATTTCTGCATCCCAATACAATGTTATGGGTATCCAGGCTATGATGCTGAGTGGGGGAGGAGACAAGCAGTTCTCGCGGCAGATGTCGAAGAAGGACACCCTGAAACAGCTGAGCCTCTCGAAACAGCTCTCTGAGACCAACGTCACCACCACGGCCGTCCTCAGCTCACGGCGCAGCCGCACAGCGTGCACTCCCAACTCCCCAACTAACCCCGTCCTTCGCGAGGAGGAGGAGGAGGAGCAAACTGCCGTCAATCCTGAATCTTGAACACAGTCTCTCGGACAATCCATCTATTAATTTTTTGACTCGATATTTGATATTTTTACAAATGTTTTGTTTCGTGCTATAATTATACGTAGTATGAGTTTTTGAGTTTTTGAGAGTTGTAATTCTATTGTGTATAATATGTGTGTTTTTATCATCATGTTTGCTGTGGTTATAAAGAGGGAGAAATAGCCCTTCAGTTCATCCATGTTTGCTGTGGTTATAAAGAGGGAGAAATAGCCCTTCAGTTCATCCATGTTTGCTGTGGTTATAAAGAGGGAGAAATAGCCCTTCAGTTCATACACTATGTCGTCATAGTGCGTATGCTTATAATTTGTGACTGTCTGTCGCAACAATTATCAATTTACACTTGTGTATATATAAAAGAATGCGTGCTTATATACATAGGTGTATAGAGCTAAATGTGTTCCTTATTATTATGCTACTGTTTGTTTCTTGTGTATACTGTCAACCTCTCTACATAAATATTATTAATGAGTTTAGAGTTTCTCCTGACTATGCCCACCATCTTCTTGATCCTCAGCGCCGTCTTCTTCAAGCCTCATCCTCTTCTCTTCGGCCCTCTCCAGCTCACTGAAGTAGATGTTCTCGTGACCCACTCCCCCTTCTTCTGCCGTCCTCTGTCCGTCGTTGTCGCCGTTGGTGCGGCCCTCTTTCTTCTCCCCTCCTCCAAGACCAACCAGGTTCAAAGCAGCGTCTTCGAGATTACGAAGAGGGATGTCGATGAATGAAGCTACAATTCCAGCCGCTCCGTACGATATAACAACAGTGGCTATTGTGTACGCTGCGAGAGTGATATCAGTACCGTAGACGGGGGCACGACGGGTGTAAAATAGGACAAAGAGTACCACTGGGTGTATGAGGTAGACGAGAAGGGAGAGCCGACTCAAAGGAGTCCAGATTTTCATCGAGAGGAAATCGTTTGCGATCCAACCGTAGCCGTTGTGACAGGCAAAGATGACGATGGAGAGCCCAAACGACCATGTGATGCGGCTCAGCATCTGATACACAATGTTTTCTCCATCCGTATCAATCCCACTTCCTCCTCCGCTGACACCACTTCCCCCCTCGCCGTTCAAGACTCCATACGTTCCATAGACAGTAGCGAAGCATAGACCGAATGCAATCACCCACATGCAGGCATACACAACGTGGTTCACAGGCCTTCGAAAGCTCAACTTTATCTTCTTGAAGAGAACAAAACCGAGTAGAATACCCAGGAGGAACGGCCCAATGCGAGCCCAGGGTTTGGTATGAATGTCATCAATCGAATTACGTCCTTCGATTACGACGTTTTCGTCAACAACAGCCCTCGACAGGTCGAGATCGAGAAAGATGCTTCCATTGAGGTCGTAGCCGCCAGTCAGAGCTCCGAGTAGAACTATATTTCCCACCAGTAACACTATTGTGATGATCAGCCCGAGTGGGTAGAGCAGTGCTAGTGGAACTATCAACAGAGGAGCGACGATGAAGAACTGCAACTCGCTGGCCACGTACCAAGCCCAGGGCATGCACTGATCCAGGCTGGCCCACGGATAAAAGTTGTTGATGTAGAAAAGATTTGTCCACCAGTTTTCCCGGCAGTTTTCGTAGGGGGTGCTACCAACACCGACAGTTCTTCGCCAGACCGGTCCGTCGGCAAAGTGGACCGTGAGGAGCCAGTAGGTGAATAGGACGACCGCATAAACTGGAGAAAAATGGAGGATTCGTCGCAGGTACTCGACTGCCAGTTTCATGTACTTTTTCTTGGATTTGCCGTCAGAGAGTTTGTTGAGAGCGACATAAGTAACAAGAACCCCGGAGAGGAGGAAGAAGCTGTCGTAACCGAAGGGGGAGCCCAAGATGGCTTGGTAGGAGAACCTGGGGATCACATTCTTGTAGACGTGGGAAGTGTGGCTGTCAAAGAAGAAGGCCCACAGGTGCGTTTGGCCCAGAATTACCCACAGAAGGCTCATGACTTTTAGTCCGTGGAGCGAGGAGATTTCACCAGATTTTTGTTCCGGTCGTTCAGTTGAGAGCATCGAAGGCACCGATTTGTACAGTGAGAAAGCCAACAGGAATTTTGCCATTTTGCTCTTTTTGTCTTCAGTAGTAGTTGCTCTATCGTCATCACTGACTGAATTCCCTAGGTACACCTCCATAGTTCCTTTTGTACCGCGATGTTTTTTGAGCATCACCACGACCACGTGGAAAGCGGTGGCTCCAAGAACTGTTAGTCCAATTAGGACCCACACTAGGATCATTATGATTGCACCGGCGTTGTACGGAGCTTTCGTTTCTTCTTCGCAGGAAACAGAGGTGACTTGAACAGAGAGGTTAAACGTGTCCAGCTGTTCGTTGACGGAACTAATGGCCCTCATGATGTCGTTGACGGAACACGATTTGGGGAGACATATGGCATAGAGCAATTCAGGATTTGGCACATTTTCATCACTTAGCTTGACAATCAGATCCGAAAGGCAGTATTTTGTGTTCGGTAGGCTAAAGCATTCGTCGTAGTCACCCAAAGCGTATCTGTTGCCACGGAGATAGCCTGCACCTAGTTTCCCAAATGAGTCGACAGCTCTCAGCCCGTTACTAAAGCCGTCAGCAGTTTCATTGAAGAGTCCGGTCCATCCGTTGGCACACTCGCCAGTAACGTCACTAGTTAGAGCTGAGCTAAGGAGAGAGTCGAGTGTCGGTACGTTTCCCTGAATGAATTCTGTGAGAAGATCTGCCAGTGCGGTTGGGAGGATGGTTGGAAAAGTAAAATCAGGCGGGAGAGTGACATTTTGCAACTCGGGAGGGAGGGTGAGGTTCTCAAGCGGGGGTAGGGTGAAATTATCGATAGGGGGCAAGGTGATGTTTCCGATGTCGATTGTTGGGAGAGTTACGTTTTCGAGCACAGGTGGAATGGTGATAGGGAGCGTTGGTAGCGTGAACCCCTCTGGGATTGTTGGTGTCGTGATTGTAGATGGAAGGGTTGGGAGAGTAAAATCTGGAGGGATGGTCAAATCTGTTGGAAGTGTAGCCGGGAGTGTTGCATCCGGTGGAAGGGTCGAGCCTCCTGGTAGAGATGGTGGGGTGAAGGAAGGGAGCGTTGAGGGAAGTGTGGGGAGAGTCAGGTCTCCAGGGAAAGTGGGTAGGGTAAAGTCGTCTGGGATGGTCGGCAGAGTTAGCCCTCCCGGGAACGTAAACGGAGCCGTTGTGCTATCCTGCGTGCTTTCCTCCATGCCCGATCCGCTGCCGCCATTCTGACGGCGCGTCCGACGACGCTCCTTCTGCAGCTGCGAGAGAAATTCCTTCGCTGCGGACTGCGACACGCCTCCGTTTTCGGGGCTCTTTGATGCGTCCTTGCGAGATTGATGCGCTGCAGAAGCTGTGGCAGCCGTAAGGACCAGCACCACGCAAAATATCATCAACTTCATCTTTTTTGCAGCGACGTCGACTGCGGTGCAGCGGAGTGCCGCTTTGTGGGGTAGGGCTCTCGGGTGGCGTGCAAAGTCGACCTGCTAAAATTTATAGCTATTATAGCGAACCTCGATCAGCCCTCAGGGGAACGTAGACATCCACATTGCATTACAGGTGGCATGTGGAGGAGGGAAGATGAATAGTCCTCTACACTTCTGATTGCTTCATGATTATGATAATAACAAGAAAATACAGTTGGCTATATACACTAAACAGCAGTAGCTATAATCATTAACTAGTCACATGCTGTTCATGTTCCACGAACACACCAAGAAATCCAATCTTGTTAATAAGTAACCTTCCTTGTGTCCTCAGGGGGATTTAGAGCCGGTGAAACACGATTCTGGTCAGATCCCATCCGCCTCACACTCTCTCTTGGCTTCAGCCCAACGAGTTTGAAAACAGCCATCTCTAAACTGGAGAGAGGAAACTCGACGAAAACAGCAACCACGCCAGCTACCGCGAAAGACAGGACAACCATTGCCACGGCGTACACTGCGATGAAGAAGTCGGTATATGCCACAGTGCTTCGAGTGGTGTATATTGTGACGCTTAGAACAATCGGGTGGACGAGATATGCAGTGTAGGAGAGCCTGCTGAGTGGAATCCACAGCTTCATCGATAGGAAGTCATTCACGATCCATCCGTACCCATTGTGGCAGGCAAACACTATCAGAGCGAGGCCAACACCCCAGGTGAAACGACTAAACATGATGTACGAAACGTTCTGTGCTTCGGTCAGCTCGTGACCGTTAAACGAGTCGTAGAGCCCATAAACCACAGAGTAGCAGCACCCCGCAGCAATTATCCAAATGACCGCATAGATCCCTGTATCCAGTAGCCAGTGAATCTTCACGCGGACCTTCTTGAAAAGTATGAACCCTAGCACTATACCCACGAGATACGGAGCGGCCCTGCAGTAAGGCTTCACGTAGATATCGTCCGATTGGTTCACGTTGCTTGGGTCAGGGAGATCCGTATTGGCGAGAAACTTCTGAGTGCCCGCAATGGCTCCGTTGGTAGACAAGGTTGCACACAGCATGATGGCTGCAATGGCAAGGCCAATTGGGAAGAAGAAATACAGCGGTATCAAGACCAGCGGAGCGAGAATGAAAAACTGCATGTCGTTAGCAAGGTACCAGGTCCACCCCATACATTCGTCCCCTAGCTTCCACGGGTAGAAGTTGTTGATGTAGAGCATATTTGTCCACCAGTACTTGTTGCAGGCTTCGTAGTTTGCACTGCCTTTGCCTGCTAGTAAATACCACTCGGGGCCATTCCCAAGGTAGACGGTTAGGGTCCACCAGAAAAAAAGAACAAAGGCATAGACCATTGTGAGTCGAAGGTAGCGGTGAATATAGTAGGTAATTACCGGGAACCGCCCCTTCTTCTTCTCCATCTCTCTCAGCGTAAGGTAAGCCACGAGAGTACCGCTCAGGAAAAAGAAACTGTCGACTGAGAAATATCCGTTCACGATTGGTTGAGCCGAAAATCGAGGGGCTACACTGGAAACGACGTAGAGTGGGTTAGAGGTGATTCCGTAGCACCAGAGAAAGGTGTGGCAGAGAATGACCCAGCCCATGCTGATGACACGGATACCGTTCAGACTAGTAATGGCCGTCGGAGGCTGTCTCGTCGAAAGGATGATCCCCACGTTCTTGAAAACAGAGAATGCAGTAATGAAATCCAGAGGACGAAACGTTTCGAAGAAGACGCCGCCAGGGTGAGCCATGCGTCTCTGCCTAGGTCGTCCCAAAAGAGGAGAACTTTCTTCAGAGTCAATTGCGGGGTTGCGATTGACAGACGAACTGTTGAGTTTTTTGGAAAATTCTTTCAAGGTTTTAACGCCCACATCTGCGACGGTACCGAATATGGCAAGTGCTAGGAAAATGCAGCAAACGGTGATCATGATTATTGCGCCGGTCGTGAGAGGCGTCGTGCGACTCTTTGTCTCGACGACTTGACTGAAGTCACCTCCGAGAAAGAACGTCGGTTCGTATTTCAGAATAAAGGCATTTGATTGGTTGATGAAGTACTGAAAATCCTCTGAATCACATGAAACTGGGACACACATTCCAAACCTGATTCCTATGGGAACGAATGTAGGGTTTGGGGGTGGCTTTACGACAATGTAAGCGGTAATGGGCGCGGACCAAAACTTCACTCTTTCGCCGATGTTCATGCATTCGTCGAAACTTCCCGCCATAAAGACGAAGCCTCCGTAGAGGAGGTCGGCGCCCGGTTTCCCCATCGCGTCGATTGCTTCCACGCCCTTTGATGCGCCGAACAGGTTCTCTCCAGGTATCTGCATAAGCTCTGAGAAATCCCTCAAACACCGGCTGTCGTAAGCGGCGACGGCTGCGGAGTCGATGTCTTCCGTGAAGAGACGGCGAAAACCGTCAGACACGGCGGCGGGAACTTTCCTCGCTGCAACGGCGAAAGTGCGGCGCGACTCGTCGCTGAGGTCGGCAGTGACTGCAGAGTTGATCCATTCCGCGGCGTCCCGGCTGGGTATCCAAGGCGCTATTTTCACCGACGAAACTGACGACGACAGAAATAGAACGTACAACTCTAGAGCCAAACAAAACCGATAGACTGCAGCCATAATTATTATATTCCCCTCACCTACGTATACTGGCAGTTCAGTCGGACTATTATACTGTGTGCTATACCTGCTGACAAAAATATTCATAACCCGCAACTGCACAAACAAAGCAGCACGTGGTATGAAATCACTGCTGACTTTACACCCCCAAAAGTCACGAGTGGCAGGAGGAAAGGTCAATAAATTACACACAATACTGCTTCACACACTAGATAGGCTCAGTGTCTTACATAAGAAATCACAGCAAAAAATATACAATTCCGTTCAAGCTTTCGATCCTTCATTGATAGGCGAGGTAGGCTTCGAGTTGCGGGCCTCGAGTCGAACATCCTTCTTCTGTGACTCCACGTTGCGTGTGCTCTCGCGAAGTTTCAGACCAGCAGCTTTGAAAATGGCCATCTCGAGATTGGAGAGGGGGAACTCGACAAACACTGCAACCACGCCGGCTGCTCCAAAAGACAGCACCACCATCGCTATGCCGTAAACCGTCATTATGTAGTCGGAGTAGGTAAACGGCTCTCGAAGTGTGCTGAAGACAGCTGTGAGAATAATCGGGTGAATAAGATACGCAGTATAAGTCAAACGACTCAGAGGCACCCAAAAGCCCATCGACAGGAAAGCATTTATGACTCTTCCGTATCCGTTATGACAGGTGAACACCAGGAGAGCGAGACCAAAGGCCCACACAAAACGACTGAACATGAAATAAGATACGTTTTCGGTGAGACTTAACCCTCCTCTTCCCCAAGAGCTGTAGAGACCGTACAATGATGAAAATAGACAACCACCAGCTACTATTAGAACAACGCGATAGATGAGCCAGTCGGCCAACCAGTGGATGTTGATTCGAACCTTCTTGAACAGAACGTAACCTAGAACAAGGCCGACGATATATGGACCGGCCCTCGTGTAAGGCTTGATGTAGATATCGTTATCTTCGCCTCCACTCTCGAACTGAATCATGTTTGCCTGGAACTCTTTCACCCCCGCAATAGCTCCGTTGGCTACAATCGTCACGATAATCAACACGCCGCTAATGAGGAGACCGACGGGGAAAGAGAAGTACAGCGGGATTATGATGAGAGGTGCCAATATGTAGAACTGCATGTCGTTCGATAGGTACCAGGTCCAACCCATACATTCGTCCTTGAGTCCCCACGGGTAGAGGTTGTTGATGTACAGAAAGTTGGTCCACCAGTATTTCTCGCAGTTGTTCTGTAAATTGCTGTCGACTCCAGCAACCTTGTTCCAGGTGGGTCCGTTTCCGAGGTGGACGGTCAGAGTCCACCAGAAGAACAGGAGAAATGCGTAGACCATCGTGAGTCGAAGGTAGCGATGAAGATAGTAGGTAATTACCGGGAACCGCCCGTTTTTTCTCTCCATCTCCCTCAGCGTGAGGAAAGCCACGAGTGCGCCGCTCAGAAAAAAGAAGCTGTCTACGGCGAAGAATCCATTGCTCATGGCCTGAAAGGAGAAGCGATGAGTGATGTGTTCTATAGCGTAGAGAGGATCTTTCAAAGCCTGGGTTGTGAGGGACCAGAGGAAGGTATGTGCTAGGATAACCCAGCCTATGCTCAGCACCCGAATTCCATTTAGACTTGTGATAGCTGTCGGAGGCATCTTGGTCGAAAAAATGGTGTTCACGTTCTTTATGATCGAAAAAGCGGTGACGAACTCCAGAGGCTTTTCAAAGGAGGCGAAAATGTCGTCTTCCTTTTTCGGAACTCCACCGAGAAGTGGCGAGTCTTCTCCATCGCTGTTGCAAGCTGGAGTCGTGCGTTTAAAGATTTTCGCTAGTTCAGGCTTCTTTGACAAATCTCGAATGGTTTTGACTCCGAGATCTACCGCAGTTCCAATGAGGGAAAGAAGTGCAAATATCGCACACACGACAATCATTGCAATGGCCCCGCCACTGAAGGGGATCCTCTTGGTGTCTTCACAGATCGTAGGATCCGATGTGTAATGGACGCCAAAAGAATATTTCGCTAAATATGCGTTAACCTCTGCCACATATTTCTCAAAGTCTGAGGTGTTGCAAGACCTAGGAACGCAGATGTCCGCTAGCAACGTCAGGTTGTTGAAGGATTCAAAGCTGCCATCACCTAGTACCACCCCAGGGACAAGCGGCAAAATGCAAAATTTTGTCAACTCTCCCGTAATATCTAGACACTCGTCGAAACTACCTGTGAGGCGTAGGTTACCTTCCAAGATATAGGGGCCCGGCTTGCCAAAGGCGTCCAACGCTCGCTCCGCCTTGGAAATGTTCTGGGCGTCCTTGTCTTGCGACATGGCTTTAAAGTCATTCGCGCATTGGGTCCCCGCTAGAGAACTGTCGCCTCGGGACCGCTGCGTCTCTTGAAGGGCCGCGGATAAATCTCGCAGCACCTCAGCAAAGTTCGTCTGTCCCACTTTGAGCGTCGCGGGGTGGTAGGGGTCGGGTTGAAGAGGGTTGACCGCCCAGGTAGGGAGCTGAGAGCCGACCTTCGAGAGAGATACGGCCAGCAACAGGCACGTCGCAAACACGAACTTCTGCGTATTTCCCGCCATTCCCAAGTATAGAGCCGAGATGCCTAGGTGCCTAGGTACTAGAGCCCTGGCCTAGCAGTGATATTCGATTCATAAGTCACATGGGGATGGCCAAACCCCGCCCCTCGCATGATCTAATAATTATACTAATAATGCAAGCTTGAATAAAGAAAATAAAAGGTGTGACAATGAGAGCAGCTAGTGATTATGAAATAAAGCTGATGCAAAAAAACATGGTAATAGGAGGGTAGTTTAGTGAAAATGATGATGTCACTGAAAAAGATTGAGCTATTCGTCGACAATCCCGGCTTGCTCCAGTTGCTGTAACTGATCGATAACTTGCTGCTTTTTGCCAACTTTTACCTCCTAGAAATTAAAAAATATATTTGGAGATGAAAGGGGAGGAAGAGAGAGTTTTAGTGAGGGGAGGGAGAGAGGGGAAAAGGGAGAGAGGGGGAAAGGGAGAGAGGGGAAAAGGGAGAGAGGGGAAAGGGAGAGAGGAGGGAGAGAGGGGAAAAGGGAGAGAGGGGGAAAGGGAGAGAGGGGAAAAGGGAGAGAGGAGGGAGGGGAAAGGGAGAGAGGAGGGAGAGAGGGGAAAAGGGAGAGAGGAGGGAGAGAGGGAAATCAGGCAGGGTGTGTGTATGTATACCTCTTCCTCCAGTAATGGCATCGTTTTGGTTTCAATGCGCTCAATCTGTCGCAGCATCTTGAGCAGCTTACGCCTCCTTCTCAACAACTCCTGCAGCATTTTACAGCAAGCACTTTAGCACTATGCATGCACACACATACATGCACTTCATCTAACATGATAGGTATGTGTACATGCATGCTCGCCAAATGCTGTTCGTATTTTGGCTGTAAGAGCGTTAAACATCACACGCTACAAGACTCTGTACATAAATATAAGCAAGAAGTTGATACTATAACCCACTGTCTTCTGTTCATCCAGAAGTTCAATAGAGCTCAGTGGTACTGTAGCATCCCTAGGGAAAGAGGGGGGCAAAGATCTTCAACACGGGTGGTTCGAAACTCCCACTGACTCTGTCTTGGTCCTTCCGATGCTAATCTGCCCCTGTGCATCGGGCAGTAAGCCACGCCCCCTGCCACGCCCCCTTCCCACAGACACTGGGTAGGGTTTGCTCCCAACCACACCTTGCATCGTTTGCTGGAATACAATCTGGAGCGGGGGGAGAGGGAGGAAGGATTGGGGAGAGGGGGGAGAGGGAGGAAGGTTTGGGGGGAAAGTGACAGTGCAGCTCATCTACCCCTGAAATGAGCACACCTCTCTAATAAGGACACCTTTTCTTTCCTCTTTGAATTCAGCCCCCACAATAAGGACACCTCACTAATATTAAGGGTGATAGTTTCTGTCCCACAAGTGTGCAAATCCCTCTCAAAAGTAAAAGAGCGCTCTCGTTGACCTCTGACCTGTGTGTTTTTCTGGCCAGTAGATTTTGGAGGTCGAAGTTGTTCCACATTCTCTCCCAGCACCTCCCTACACTCAAAATTACCACTCAATATCGAAGTATTCAGAGGTACATACTATATTGACTAAGTGGGAGGAGCTGACCTAGTGGCACGATCTTTCTACATCATCAAACTGCACATGCGTTTGGCTTCATTGGGTCAAATAATGGGGGTTTTCATTAACTGAGAGGGGGAAGGGGCAAAGAAAGTACGAGACCTAGGTGGGCGTGGCCTGACAGCAGGGGGCGGGGCCGGGGAAGGCTCCAACTCCACATCGCGAGGTTGTTGGTCAGCATCGAACAGTTCGTCTCCTCGACTTGGCGGAACGTAAATCACGTCTGAGTGCGTTGAGAGAGAAATCAGCAAAACAAACACATTAATTTAGCACTTTACCCTACAAAGTGTGTTATAATAGAAAAGTTGAACGTTTTGGACCTCAAAGGGTGTCCTACAGTCGTATATTAAGAGGTCTTGTCTAATGCATACGTGGGTAAGCAAGCAATTTTGAAATACGTTCATTATCCGCCTTCCCCCTTAATCCTTACTGTCATCGTCCCAGCTCTCAGTTGTGTCTGGCCGCCAGCTGGGATCAAACGCCGGAATAGACGTATTCCCCTTTAAGTTTGGGTCTCTCTGTGTCTGGGCTGGGAAACCAACACTACTACATTCGCCATGAGTTCAAGGGATCTACATAATTATGAGAGTGGTCGGAGAGTACACACGTTTTTGCCCCTCTCCTGGAAAATAGTTGCCCCCCACACCCAAAGTGAGAGCATCGTCGAAAAAAACGTACTGTCTAAGTTACAACTCCAAACTGTATATTTTATTCTCAGGGTGTCCGTATGACCCAGCTTGCCCCGCTGAAAAAGGAAAAAAAACATGGGCTATTTTACCTCGTAGCTGCTCGGCTTCGAATCGACCCCTGTCGTCACAGATTTTGATGTGGTACTCAAACTCTGGCTTTGGAACGACGTGTCTCGCGTTGAAAGGACACTGCCTGAAGTCCCGACGGTTGAAATTCTGACGATGACGAGTGTGTATATAAAACGCACTGACGGCTCACGTGAGCACAAAAACTGCTCACGTGACTGCGAAACTGCTGACCTGTCGGCACTTTATGAGGTGGTACTGGAAGCGTTTCCGCTGGACGCGGTGGACAGGGTCGTAGGGACACACAACCAGCTCGTCCGGGTCTTCCCACGTCGCCATTTCCCGCAAAAGACAGCTCAGTGAGGGTCGGGAGTGACTGCAAGATCTTACACTGCGCTGCCGATAGTGCTGACTTTGCACACGTGTAGTGAGGTCAAAGGCCGACTCCGACACCGTAAACTACTTTGGTTTCCGTAAACGATTCGGATACTATCAGCATGTTGAACGAGGTGGCTTCTTTTCTGGAGAGGAAGGAGAAAGACGATTTAATGGTAAGCATAATAGCGTAGTAGCTTGTATCACGTGACCTGCAGGGGCAGCTTGTGTTAGTGTCTGATCGCCAAGCCAACGGAAGCTTTCTCATCCACTACTTCATTTCACAGGCCTTGAAAGGTTACTTCGTAGAATTTTTTAGAAGACCAAATTTCGATCAAATTTCCACTGTTATGCAGATGGGTTTGATGTCTACCTGGTTTCGTTCGCCCAGTCATTCATTCATTACAGCAGTGTTGCTTCAAAACTAGTGAGTTGAACTTCGCTGAAACGTCGATAAACATTTTCTCGTTTTTTCATTCTGTAGGGAGTGAATCTGTCTCGGTACCAGAGCAGTGGGCAGCTGGTGTACATCGACTGTCTGTCTCGCTTGTTGGACGGAATATGGGCGGAGCCTGGAGATGCATTAGTAGCCACACCCCCTAATAAGTCCCCCAGTACTGTGACGTATAGTCTAGACAGGTTAGAACTTGCAGCAATCTCGCAATTTTCACACTCCATTCAAAGTATATATATAAACCATGTTAGTTAGATTGCAGCATGCACACAATACGGAGTACACAATATCTGTTGTTACTGCGCTCTGTTTTGATAGTGATGGGACTTTGCGAGGACTCTATGATGAGATACAGTCATTGCTGACCTGTGGAAGAACGCAGAAGCCGGTTTGTATTGTTCTGGATGACCTTAGCATTCTCACAAGTGTTGGGGTCAGGGTGAGAGATATCACCAGCTTTGTTCGCTACTGCTCTGATTTGATCTCGGGTCCACAGTGCATAGCCAATGTAAGATGATTGGTCGAAAAGAGTGTGATGTCGTTGTGACGTCATAGGGTTACGTGGTTGCCATGGTGCACTGCGAGGGGGAGGAGAGAGTGGATGGGGAGGAGGGGCTGCTGTGTTCTCAGTTACTCTATCGCAGCCACTTGAGCCTGACAGTCAGAGGAATGGAGTCTGGCTATTCCAGAGACATTCATGGAGAGGTCTGTCTTATAGGCCGCTAACGTTTTACCGATTTTGAATAGTAAATGTACACCGACTTTCAGAACTTTATAGCACCGCTGGATAATGGTTTCTCTAGGCATATGGTGTACTCCAGGTATTGATTTTAATCAGCTGATTAGTATTGTGGTGCCTGGCTGGAGTAATGTTTTCATTGTCTGTAGTATGACCTTATGCTCTTATGCTTTGCTGTTTTGTGTCTGCTTAGGTAAAGGCAGAATGGAGAGAACCGTGCCCACAACCGTCATTCTCTCCCACCACCAAACACGCTCAATTCAAACTCTCAGATAAAACTGTCCGTCTCTTTGCAAAAGGAACTTCTAGCGCCGTTTTGTAGCGCGCTTAAAGCTAATTACCACTTTGTGCGCGCGCATACGCCAACGACGCGAGAGCGACGCGGGTTTTGAAGACGATGGAGGCGCGTGGCGTTCCTGTGGACGTCGTTTTTGCAGACGCGTCCAGCAGCGGCGGATCTCTGAACGTAGACATAGACGATAAGGGATCTTCGTCGGTAGGAAACAGTGACAGTAGAGACAACGGAACCGCTGCAGAAGTCGAGACGAAGAAACGTCCGCGGGAACGGCTCTGGGCGACCGCACTTGCTGCGTTAGTGGCAGCCGTACCGGCTCTCCTGGTCGGCTATACGATCGGCTTCCCGTCTTCTGCACTGCTCGACCTGACGGGAGACCTTGCAGCTGGTATTCCGAGCGACTACGTCTTCAGTTCCACTCTTGCCGACGTCTTTGCTGTAAATCAGTCAACTTTTACATTTGACCTCGAAGACTTTTATGATTTTTTTATGCAGGCTCTGGCACCGGTAGGTGGGGTGTTTGGAGGATTGATTGCGGGTCCAATAGCGGACAGATGGGGCCGCAAAAACGCGCTGGTTCTGTGCGGCATTCCCTACTTTGTTGGGTATCTGGTCCTGAGCTATGCTCACTACCTTCCAACCGCAGAGAGTTTCAAGACGATAGTGCTGTTGGGGAGGTTTCTGACTGGAGTTGGTATGGGCTGGGCCTGCATGTCTGCATCAGTGAGTTCCAACTACACAGTCTATTCCAGGGCACCAAATGAAGGGCTGCATTGCATGCTATATTGGGAAAAACTGTTCAATTTACTGCCAAGAAGAGAAGGGTTCCAATTCATGAAACTTATAGTTGAGTATAGCTAGTATCATCATAGTTGGTAACTTTTCCATCTATCTACATTTTTCTCCACAGGTTTACATTGCAGAGATTTCGAGTGCCAAGTTTCGGGGATTTTTCGGATCCTTTGTTCAGATTGGGCTGGTTGCCGGAATACTAGTCAACTATGTCATTGGCTCCATCCCTCATTTTCCCTACTACCGCAACTCTCTGGTTGCTGCCGGGATAGCTGCCGGGTTCGAAGTCTTCATGGTGATGTTGTATGAGACTCCGAGATGGCTCGTTTCCTGGGGGCGAACCACTGATGCTAGGCACAGCCTCAGATGGCTGCGGGGACCTTCAGTCGATATCGAACAAGAATTTCAGGCAGCTATGGCGGTTCAGCACGTGAGTACAAGTCTGCGGGAGACTGTCAGGGAATTTCGGAAGAGGAGCGTGGCGGTGCCCCTGGTGTTGATGATTTTCGTGATGTTTTTCCAGCAAGCCGGCGGGCTAAATGCCCTCGCCTCGTTTGCTGCTAGTCTCTTTCAACAGGCTGGGGTCGCGAACCCTCGGATCACCACTGCCTATGCCGTGGGAGGAGTCGAGTTAGCTACATCTCTAGTGGTGGTGTTTGTTATTGACCTAGTGGGAAGGAAGTTCTTGCTCATTCTGAGTGGAGTGGGGATGACCATCGGCACTTTACTTCTCGGAGTCCACTTTTATCTAACCCGGCCTTCTCTCTGCGCGAGTGAACACTTCTTCAACTCAACTCTATCCTCGGAGCTGTCGGAGGACTTTGGGGCAAATGTCTGCAATGCCCAATACGGACCGCTAGCCATTGTCAGTATAATGACGTTTGGAGTTGGATTTTCGATCGGTTGGGGTCCCGTCCCCTGGATCCTGGTCTCGGAACTGACACCGCTGCGTGTGAGGGGAGCTGCGTCGGGCATTGCAACACTAGTCAACTGGGGCACTGCTGCTGTTGTGGTCGGATTCTACAGCTCGTATGCCGAGGCTGTGACTACTTGGTTCGCCTGGTGGTCGTTTACAGCCATCAACATCGCCGCGGTCGTGTTTGCTGCACTATTCCTACGGGAGACAAAGGGAAAATCGCTGGAAGAAATCGAGAGTCATTATCAGAGAAATGTTCTTTAGTTGTGAATAATTCCAGTCATCCCGTGTTTGATATTATTATTATGGGGGGTGTGATTTTCGATTGCTTTGTGATTTAGAAGTTCCCTGTGCCGGGCGGTTTAGCAAAATAGCTGAAGAGATCTTTTTCTTGCATCATTATACTCACATAACAATGGTGTGTGAATAAATTTAATTCTGATTGTGTATATAGTAAAGATAGTCACAGTTTTCGCTCACACACAAAAACATCAAGAATAATAAAGTAATACTACCTTGATTTTTCAATTAGCACACAGATGATTATCATGGGTGGGGCTTCAATTTCAACACCAATGTTCTTGATAGTATATCTCTATGTCCTCTAAAGTCTTTCCTTTAGTCTCACGAATGAAGACAATTGCAAATACGGCGGCGATAGTGTTGAGAAAGGCAAACGTCCACCAAGCGAACCAGTCCCTAACAGCCTCCGAGTATTCCAGGTAGACACCAATCACTAGTGCAGCAGAGCCCCAGTTCACGAGAGTAGCTATCCCACTGGCGCTCCACGGACCCTTACTGGAATCAGTTCAGAGAGCAGGACCCACGGAACAGGGCCCCAGCCGATGGAGTAGGCCACCGCAAACAGTACTGCACTGGAAATAGCCAGTGGAGCAAACTGGGTGTTGATACAATTCTCAAACATGTCCCCCGAACGGGCTTCTTGTAGTTGTAGAAATTCACTTTCTTCTGCAGTTGAATTAACGATTGAGACTAGCTGGGTACAAGTTGAAGGACGGGTGATGAAATAGTGAGCTCCGAGCATTGCTGATCCGACAACCATACCGATGCTACTCAATACTAGCAGGAATTTCCGTCCGACAAAGTCGATGACTAGGATGGTGAGGAATGTTGCCACCAGTTCAACTCCACCCACTGCACCCAGTGCCGTCAGCTCTGGCTCGGCCACTCCTGCACTCTCAAACAACAGTGCAGCATAAGTCGACAGCACATGGGCACCGCCAATCTGATGGAAAAACATCGACAGCATCACCAGGACAATCGGAATCGCGATGTGTCGTTTCGTCGACATCTCCTTCATCGCTAGCCACAGACTCAGACTCTCAGCCTCTTGTATCCTCTCAACCTCTTGTTCGACTTTGACACTCGGACCTCTGAGCCACTGGAGTACTTTCACGGCCTTTTGGTGCTGACCGTGACGAATCAACCAGCTGGGACTCTCCTTCAGCCAGACTACCAGGCACTCAAACACGGTGATGATCCCGACAGCTACTAGCGAGCTGTGGAAGTAGGTGATTGTCGGAAAAGAGCTGATTCCGTAGTTCAACACAATTCCAGTGGCTACGGCTATTTGAGTGAATGTTCCAAACAGCCCTCTGAGTTTCGGTGAGGATATTTCCCCAATGTACACCTGGATCACAAAATAAAACACAAAACTGACTGTATAGTGTGCCATTATTGTAGCCATTATTCCCCTCGTAGTGGGATACTATATACACACAAAGAAGTGAAATTGTTAGAGTTAGCAGACCCCATTGTACAAGGTGCAAAGTGGAAGTGATGATTACACTTACTATAAGGCATCACCTCCCAGTTTTCAACACTGAGACTTTGCTAAAGAAATACAGAATTGACTCACTGGTCCACAGCTACCAGCCCAGCCCATCCCTACTCCAGTCATAAATCTCCCAGTGAAGACAAGAGCCTGGAATCCCAGTGCAGTGGGCATGTAGTGAGCGTAGGTTAGGAACAGGTAGCCAATGAGGTAGGGGATCCCACAGCAAACCAGTGCCTCCTTCCTCCCCCAGCGATCTGACATGACTCCTGATAGCGGTGCTCCAACTAGCGCTCCTATTGGAGCCAATGCCTGTATATAACATACAAACACAGATTTAGCAAAAGCACTGCAATGTTGTGCTCACTTCTTTCAGTGCTCGCGTATTTCCAGCTAAACATTTTTTCGCGACATGTCATTGACAAACGGATTGGTCATGCGAGAAAGTTATAGCAAACTCCTTACGGCAAAAGTGTCTGCGAGGTGAATGGAGAGGCGGTAGTTTTCGGGGAGGCCTGCACTCTCTGTAGTCAGATCGAGAATGGCGGAGGAGGGGAAGGCGAAAGTGTACCCTATCATTAGAGCCGGAATGGCTGCGACGAGGGAAGAGAAGGCCGTGGGGCCTAGGCGCTCCTCGTTCCCCATAGCTTTTCTGATCGCCGTTACTATAGGACGGACTGATATTTATAGCAGTGCGCGTGATCGCCAGCTACACCCCCTGCGCGCGCGCAGCGCACCGAAGCCGCCGGGGTCGTGTTCTGATTGGTCGTTTTGCTTTCGGCAGATCGAAAGGAACCGCGCATGCGTTGTCATGTGATTAAAATAGGCGCGGCAGCAAAGTCGTCGATCTTGCGATCACGGAGCATGGACAGTGAAGCATTTCCCTTACCTCTGTCCTGGACGGTTCCTGTTGGCAGGTGAAAAGCGAGCCAGGAACCTATTGAGTTGCTATGGGCAAGGAGGAGCGTCTCTGGCCCACGGCGCTGTGCTCCTTTGTCGCCGCCATTCCGGCTCTAATGATAGGGTACACTTTCGCCTTCCCCTCCTCTGCCATTCTCGATCTGACTACAGAGAGTGCAGGCCTCCCCGAAAACTACCGCTTCTCAATCGCCCTCGCCGATATCTTTGCTGTAAGATCGTAACATTCTCACACATTATACGGGATCGAGCTAGCTAATATTGCGTTAGAAACCGTGGATTGCACATCGATAAATTACACAATTTTTCTTGTAGTCTGTATGTTACTAAACAACAACTACATCCAAAACATCAAACTGAAATCTTGCAGCAACCGTACACACTGTAATACGGTTAGCTATACTCACGTTATCCATGAAGATTTCTGAACCAATTGCTTTGCAGGCATTGGCTCCAATAGGAGCGCTAGTTGGAGCACCGCTATCAGGAGTCATGTCAGATCGCTGGGGGAGGAAGGAGGCACTGGTTTGCTGTGGGATCCCCTACCTCATTGGCTACCTGTTCCTAACCTACGCTCACTACATGCCCACTGCACTGGGATTCCAGGCTCTTGCCTCCACTGGGAGATTTATGACTGGAGTAGGGATGGGCTGGGCTGGTAGTTGTGGACCAGTGAGTCAATTCTGTATTTCTTTTAGAAAGTCTCAGTGTTGAAAACACTGAGAGGTGATGCCTTATAGCATTACTTACACTTTGCACCGTTGTACAATGGGGTCTGCTAACTCTAACAATTTCACTTCTTTGTGTGTATATAGTATCCCACTACGAGGGGAATAATGGCTACAATAATGACAGTCAGTTTTGTGTTTTATTTTGTGATCCAGGTGTACATTGGGGAAATATCCTCACCGAAACTCAGAGGGCTGTTTGGAACATTCACTCAAATAGCCATAGCTACTGGAATCGTGTTGAACTACGGAATAAGCTCAATCCCCAAGATCACTTACTTCCACAGCTCACTAGTGGCTGTTGGGATTGTTGCTGTGTTTGAGTGCCTGGTAGTCTGGCTGAAGGAGAGTCCCAGCTGGTTGATTCATCACGGTCAGCACCAAAAGGCCGTGAAAGTACTCCAGTGGCTCAGAGGTCCGAGTGTCAAAGTCGAACAAGAGGTTGAGAGAATACAAGAGGCTGAGAGTCTGAGTCTGTGGCTAGCGATGAAGGAGATGTCGACGAAACGACACATCGCGATTCCGATTGTCCTGGTGATGCTGTCGATGTTTTTCCATCAGATTGGCGGTGCTCACGTGCTGTCGACTTATGCTGCACTGTTGTTTGAGAGTGCAGGAGTGGCTGAGCCAGAGCTGACGGCACTGGTTGCAGTGGGTGGAGTTGAACTGGTGGCAACGTTCCTCACCATCCTAGTCATCGACTTTGTCGGACGGAAATTCCTGCTAGTATTGAGTAGCATCGGTATGGTTGTCGGATCAGCAATGCTCGGAGCTCACTATTTCATCACCCGTCCTTCAACTTGTGACTCTGTGGGTTCCAACAACTCTACTGGAGATTTTCTTCTACAAGCCCGTTCGGGGGACATGTTTGAGAATTGCATCAACACCCAGTTTGCTCCACTGGCTATTTCCAGTGCAGTACTGTTTGCGGTGGCCTACTCCATCGGCTGGGGCCCTGTTCCGTGGGTCCTGCTCTCTGAACTGATTCCAGTAAGGGTCCGTGGAGCTGCCAGTGGGATAGCTACTCTCGTGAACTGGGGCTCTGCTGCACTAGTGATTGGTGTCTACCTGGAGTACTCGGAGGCTGTTAGGGACTGGTTCGCTTGGTGGACGTTTGCCTTTCTCAATACTATCGCCGCCGTATTTGCAATTGTCTTCATTCATGAGACTAAAGGAAAGACTTTAGAGGACATAGAGATATACTATCAAGAACATTGGTGTTGAATTATCTTCATTACCCGTGATAGTGCTATAATCATCACCCGTGTGCAAATTAAAAAAGCAAGGTATATTGTTGTTTGAAAATCATGGCATTTTGTGATTTGATTCACCTACAGGCTGAACATACATCATACAGACAACGGCGACAGTACATGTTTGTATATCCGAGGCAGTTCAGACACCCGCAATTTTCGCAGTCGACGCACTCGACGTCTCGCTCAATACTGGACCAGCACATCCCTAGCAGTGGCGCCAGGGCCTCGTAACCCGCCACTAGCGCCATCTCTAAGAACAAAACCATCAACAGGACGCCGGGCACGTACACGCGTATGCCCCCGTCGCCTTCGAGATGCAACGCGATGAGTATTTCCGCCGCCAACTTGAGCGGTAGGCCCAGAGCGAAGGCAATGAGGTAGCGAAGTGATACGTGCTGTCCGGGGAAAACGGGCGAGTTCCTGCCAGCCCACACGGAGTCCTCGTCTCGTTTCACGGCGAGGTAGGTAAAGAGGTAGATTACCCACAAGACGACGGCTATCCCGTCGAAGATAAATAGCGGCGAAAACACGGCGTACCAGCTGAGAGAGCCGTCTTGGCCGGCGGAGAGGGCGCGGATGAGAGCCAGGACCACAAACACCCCGTGTAGACCCAGCAGTACGGACACTCTCAGGTAGAGAAAGACGCCTTTGCACGTCACTCTCGCCATTTTCCCCTTCCAAGTCGTCGTGGGGAAAGAGTTAACACCGGCGCACGTGATCAAACTATATTATGATGTCATAATTTTACGTAATGCCTAATAATTTTAGTTCATGCATAATAATTACTGTTCTTCCTCGGCTTGTTCTTTAGCGAAGTCTATAAACACCTGCAGAAAACGAGAAAACAGCTAATAGCTATAGCTAGCCGAGTGAGGGTTGAAACAGACTTGTTCGAGAGTGGTTTGGCTGACAGAGTAGTCCACAATTCCCAGCCTCTCCTTGTTGGCCTCCATCTGTCGAAACACAGAGGACCACGTCATGTCTGCACTCGGCAGCTGGTATGTCACTGAGCCCTGTGTGTGTGTGTTAGGGAGACAAGCAACCATTGAGCCACTGCTGAAGACACTAATTATAATGTCCCCTGTCCTTCATTGCTTCCATAACCTCAGCTATTATAATACAGGCATCAAAATCTCTTCTGTATAATATTATACTTCAAGCCGTGAAGATTTGACTAATGTTTTTCGTAAATCCAGCGCCATACCAAAAATACTCTGGAAATTTCACAAAATTTGTGAAAGTTATTTATAATTATGACATAGGCGAGCTATTTGGCTATTTACCTGGTGTTCCTCCAGTTTGACAGCGCCGGGAAAAGTCTCCTTGATGAAAATGTTCACAGCCTGCGTGGCAAACGGATTGAAGACCTCTCCGGCAAGGGAAATCCCCGGAGATGTGATGCTCTTCACACTCCTGCAATTAGGAGAGTTAATTAATTAGTTATACTCTTCCAACCTTTAACCCTTAGAGCTGCTCAGCAATCATTTTTGCATAATTTTAGCAAAAGCAATCAGAAGAACTGTCAGGGATATTAATGTTGACCACTGCTCTTATAATATTTCGATCCTTAAAATGTCTTATGGGAGCATTCATGTAGCAAGAGAAACACTACAGAGCCTGCCATGAGGTTTATTCCACCTGTAGGCAGCTCAGGTTTATAAGTACCTCTCTGGGTCACTGCCAAAGCCGCCGTCACTGTTGGTCTGAGTCGGGCTCTGCGGCGGCTGACTCTGCTGGCTGGTCTGTCTCCTGAAAGACCGTGTGAATGATCTCGACTGTGGACTCCGTGGCTCTAAATCAGAAGGAGGTTCGCCAAGAGATACCTTGGCCTGCAGGTAGAACCCCGAGCCATACCTGTATAATATAGTGTAGTGGAACAAGGGTTAGAGGAAGGTAAGTTAAGGGGGTAATGGATGAAGATGATGGTGATTAAATAATAATAGTTGTGGTGGTAAGTGTCAGAAGGGGGGAAGAAGAAGGTAAAGAAAGAGAAGAAGAAGAGGAAGGAGCAAAAGAAGAAAGAGAAGAAGAGGAGGAAGGAGTAATATAAGAAAGAGAAGAAGAGGAGGAAGGAGCAAAATAACGGGAAAGAAAGAGAGGAGGAGAGAAAGGAGAAAGATTTCTCTGACTTGTTTTTGAGGTGCTGGATCCCTCCGAGGCATTTGAAGCGTCCGTTCACCATGATGGCCAGTCGAGTACACAGAGCCTCGCACTCCTCCATACTAAACAGCGGACAAAGAGGCTGAAAATTTCCTGAGCTAGTCAGCGAGAGAGAATCTTCACCTGTGAGAAGTGAGGATGATGCTGCGGCCTTCCTTGGTGACACTGATCAGGACGTCCCACAGATACCTACGTGTCGCTGGATCCATACCTGTCGTGGGCTCATCCTGAACAAAATAGGTAATCGTTTAAATTAATCAGCAGGGAGTGTATTTTAAGGGAAATGTGGCAGTATAATTATAAGGGCTAAATTTGTTACTAAAAAACATGAATTTAATTGCATTCTTGCACTGGACCCTATTGTTACGTGCTACTTTAGCAACATTTCTAAATTTAGCCTTCACGTACTGACACATTCCTTTTAACATACACCATAGGATCTGCATGCAACGCCCCTGAAATGAGGACACCTCACTAATAAGGATACCTTTCTTTCCCCAAGAACAGTACCTCCATGCAATTAACCCCTGAAACGAGGACACCTCACTAATATGGTATCCTATTGTTGAGGGATTGTAGCTGTGTTGTAAGTATGTACCAGGAAGACGATGGGAGGATTCCCAACCAGAGCCAGTGCAGTACTTAGCTTCCTCTTGTTACCTCCACTGTATGGGAGGGGACGACAACAGTAGAGCGAAATGAATCAAAGTTTTTTAAAAAACTCGCTGAGCTTCAGCACTTTGTATGTAGCTATATACATCCACAACCTCTACATCCTTTCATTTTGAAACATTTCTGTTGTAATGGTTTTGATCTGTGAAACACTGTGTGTTATGCACCAAAAGAAACCAGTCTCTTTAAACCTCAACTAGACAGCTCCGTGGCATAATTAATAAGATCACCTTCATATAGAGAACAATAGAGACCGAGACAATGTGATAATAGAGATCATAAAGAGAGTGAGACTACGTAGATCATTGGGACGATCCCTCGTGCCATACCTGTACTTCCCGCACTGCTTGCTGGCGTGTTTCGAGAGATCGAGCCTTGATATCTCGGCCTCCACTGCGTCCTTAATGAGGGCCTCGGGGATGCCTCTGAGTCTGGCAAACATGGTCAGCAGCTCTCTCCCTGTCATCCTCTCTAGCAGAGCATCAAACTGAGGGCAGTAGCCAATCCTCTGCTGGACCTGCAAAAGTTTCAAGTTTTGCCCTTCAATTGTAACTCAGATATTCATTCATTATTTTCTAGCGGCAATTCCGTAGCACTTTAATTTGGTGGTGCTTCTATGTCGTGGCGTTCTTTAGTTTAGTGGTGCCTTCAATCTAGTGAAATTTTTTTAGTTTGTGCTTTTGTATACTCTTTGGCTAACGTCGCCTTTTTCCAGTGGAATCTTTCGATGCCTCTCTCACCTTTCTGAGGTCAGTTCTGATGTCGAAACCGGAGATGAGTGCAGTTCCTCTGGTGGCAGTAATGTCTCCCGTCAGCATGCTGAACGTGGTGGTCTTTCCGGCACCTGGCAATGAACCAGTCACAGAAACACATGAATTGTCCACAACACAACAACTCAGTATGAATGAAAAGCACTAAAGTGCAAACCCTCGGCGAACTGGGCATGCGAGGTACCACTGATTGATGGGCTGGGCTGCTATTAGTATGCGTTTACTCGTGGTCTCCCGCTAGTAGCTCGCAGAGAGTCTGACACGGGCTAGCTACAGTAGTATATAGATAGCATGCGAGAGTCGATACATGCCCTTCGTTGTGACTTCTTGTCCCTTCAAGATACACAGACACAGAACAAGCGGACCCGAGCCTGTTCAAAATATAAGCGCATGCGCATTTTCCGCAGCGATAAAAATGGCCGACTAGCATTAGCCGTACAATGGCGGAAGCGCTCTAGCTCTGCAACGGAGCATTTTCAGAGAAAACTGTTCGAAATTTCTGACCTTCATTGCCCGTTAGGTAGGTCGTATCCTTTGTGAGACGAACAGACACTCGAGAAGTGAGATTGAGAGTAACAGACACACGGACGGACGGACGGACGGACAGACCCAACTACAGTACCCTCGCTGCGCATGCGCGCCGAGGGTAATAAAGAGTTGGATAAAAGAAACAGAGTCTAGCTTTTCTATGCATGTTCCATATTCTTGAGATTAGAGTGGTTTAATAGCTCTTTGCTAACATTGGTATAATTATAACTCTTAGCTAAGTCTTGATAAGGTAGTCAGAGAAATTCTTTTCTATGCATGTTCTATATTCTTGAGATTAGAGTGGTTTAATAGCTCTTTGCTAACATTGGTATAATATATATAGCTCTTTGAGGTAGTTAGTTAGTTCTTGACTTAAATAAGTGCTGTTGAAATTGTTATGAGCTATGCCCATACATAAGTTGCTAGTCTATACAGACCATTGACTCCGAGAAGGCCGAAGCACTCGGCACGAGGGATGGTGAGATTTATTCCCTGGACTGCCAACTTGGACGCCCGTACGGTGCAACCATCCAGTCTCCTCCTGTACTCCTGCAATGCATATGATACCACATCATCACTTTTCTCTTTTAGATTCCACTTCTTCTGAGGCGGTTTTTTCCCCTCACAATCAAGTCTATTGTGCTTGCATTATCGTTTTTATGTCTGAGGCCGTTTTTCTTATATTATACCCATTATTTTTTGAAATCATTTTCATAAGTATATTAATTAATGCAATGGGTTGAAGATAATAAGTACCTTGACAAGATCTTTAATGATGACAGCATAGTCTTTACTGGTAGCTCCACTGGCTATCTTCTTTCTCTCACTGACTACATCCTCATCCTATTGCAGAAACAAGAGACGAATCATTTCAGGAGTACGTAGAAAGATGTCTAACAGACTTGTGGGTTCGGACCTAACCCAATACTTCAAAAAAAAAAGAAAAACCCCCTCCTTTTCATCATTGGGTTTTTGTTGAGTGCCTTTTGCACGAGAGAGATGAGATAGAGATAGAGAGAGAGAGAGGGCAAGAAGAGAGAAGAGCGAGAGAGAGAGCGAGCGAGAGAGAGAGAGAGAGAGAGAGAGAGAGAGAGAGAGAGAGAGAGAGAGAAGAGAGAGAGAGTCTGGGTAGACACTTACCTCTCCTTCCAGAGGTACAGCTGATGTGTGAACATGTCCGCCATCCTTCAGAAACAGCCCTCGAATATCAGGAATGAAAAATTGGTACTGCAAAAGAAAGGAACTTTTTAATCTTTTCTCACAGCACTTTTATACAGCGGAACCTCTCTCTACAGATATCTCTGAAACAAGGACACCTCACTAATATGGACACTTTATTCTGTCCCATTGGTGTCTGGATTAGACTGTATAATGCTCAGGACACCTCAACAAATATGGACACTTTCTTCTGTCCCATTGGTGTCTGGATTAGAGGAGTTCCACTGTATAATGCTCAGGACACCTCACTAATATGGACACTTTCTTCTGTCCCATTGGTGTCTGGATTAGAGGTGTTCCACTGTATAATGCTCAGGACACCTCAACAAATATGGACACTTTCTCTCTCCGTTGGTGTCGGTATTAGAGGAGTTTCCACTGTTTTAATGATCAGGAAAACCTCAACAATATGGACACTATTCTTCTTCT